GGTCAGACCTAGAACAAGTGGATGTGTGGATTCGTGGAAATACTTTTCTATGATGGTTTGGGGATGGGGGAGAATTCAGGAATTGTTTTTCTGTGCTCTTTTTGGAGCGGGGAGGAATTCTCCACCAAACTACAAGCATTTGAACTGCAAGAAAGTTCATGGGATGGATTAGGAGCCAGATTCCTTAACCCAGAATTCATCCAGAGAGAGAGGAGAACGGTTCACTCCACCTGGAGCAGGGGACTATGAAATGAGATAGTGGAACTCTAGCACACTGAACAGGATTACTTCTTCCATGGCAGACTTTGGTAAAAACTATTACCAAGTTCTTCTGCAAATGGAAAATGTCATTGTCTTCTACAACAGGAATGTAAAGGAGGAGGGACAAATCACATCCATGATCCTGGTGGCAGGTGAGTCAGGGGCTGAGCTGGGGATGGGGAAGAGCAGCCAATGGCTCACTTTCCAGTGCTCTCTGCATGCAGGAGGCCTCGGGGTGCACAATGGGGACAGAACCATGTTCCTGTAGACCAGAAACACCTCTTTGGAGGGTCTCTTTCAAGACACCCGGCTCTGTGGCACACTCATTTAGTCCACCTATTACTACAGCTCCCTGGGCAGTGGTCTGTGCCACTCACAGTGATATTTCATCTGTCAGCTAGGAGCCCACATTGGAAATTCTTATTTAATTTGATTTATGTAGACTCACTTCTTTCTGTGATGAACTCTCCCACCATATTCTCAAGGCATGAAAATGAATCTAAATTTCCTCACAGATGGGTGGGAATTGAGCCTCTCAAATGTAATGTTCTCCAACATGAAAATAACATGAGCTTTAACTGAACACCTAGCACCAAGCACCTGAGTTTTATAATGGGGGTGTCCGTCATACTCAGGGGAGTGGTAGAATATTGAGCTCTGGTTGGATGATTTGCAAAGATGTGATTTAGATTTTTGATGTGACTTTTTCTCATAAGTAACTGGAGATAATATGCTTAAGGAAAAGTTCACATAATTTCATCCTCTCACTTGAGGTAGGCTCAAGAACACAGAAAATGTGTGCTGGAATGCACATAGGGTAAAGGAGACCCCAGAGCATGGAGGAAATAAGAACTCTTTAGGCGGACACTGGTGGCTCATGCCTGTCATCCCAGTGACTCAAGAGGCTGAGATCTGAGGATCATAGTTCAAAGCCAGCCCAGAGCAGGAAAGTGCATGAGTCCCTGATCTTCAGTGAATCATCAAAAGGCCAACAATGGGGCTGTGCAACTCAAGTGGATAGAATGATCACCTTGAACAAAAAGGAAAAAGCTCAAGGAGAGTACCCAATTCAGCACTGGCACCACACACACACACACACACACACACACACACACACACACACACACACCTCAGTTCCATCATAGCTTGGTCATTTGGTGCATTACTGATAAGGCAAATAATCTGATAAATGGTCAGCTCACAACTGGAAGAGTGATCATAAGGAACCGAAAGTAGTGTGTACCCCAAAATGTTCACTTCCATCAATGTCACCCCTTCTTTATTCCATAGGGAACCCAGCTTGGTCCTCGGGGACTGGCTGGGGACAGGCCGTGGGGGAGGGACAGCCAGGTATGGCTCAGGGGATGCAGGGGAATCTAGGCCACAACCCAGTGCTGATTTCCTCTCCATGCCACTCAGGGAGATTAGAGGCCCTGAGACCAGGGCAGCTAAAGAAGGTGGAGATGCTCACCAAGGACAAGAACATCCCATTTTCCATCATCCAAATTATCCCATTTCCAGGTGAAGCTCAGGCCTATTTCCTATAGAATACCAAAAAAAAGCATAAAATTAAATAACTATCTAAGATCCTGATTCAGTATGTTTTTCACCTACAGTTGCATTGTACTTGAGTGTGAGTGCATAAACTTTGTCATATTGAACATCTCCCTTAATCCTGTTCATTTTTTCTTCCTTGCACTTTTTCACACATGAGTGTCTGGTGGAGTATTGAGCTTCCCTGGGGTGAATAGACACAAACCTGGTCCTCCATTCCATTTGGTACTCTAATTCTACTATATTTTTCTTTGGATAAGTGGATTTCCATGGTCAACAGAGTCTCTCTTGAAGGAGACTGTCATAGTCTTTGTTTTCTTTTTGTTTGTTTGTTTAGTTGTTGTTGTTGGTGGTGGTGGCTTGAACTCTGCTCCTGGGTGCTGTCCCTCAGCTCTTCAGCTGAAGGTTGGTGCTGTACCACTTGAGCCACAGCATCACTTCTGGTTTTCTGGTGCATCACTAGAGAAAAGAGTCTCATGGACTTTCCTGCCTGGGCTGGAACCTGTGATCCTTAGATCACAGCCTCTTGAGCAGCTAGGATGACAGGCCTGAGTCACCTGGTGCCCAGCTTAGTCTATGTTTTATTAAATCATGGAAATCTTCCCTGATTTCTTTGGCCTTCACATAACTTGTGAGGAGAAGGACACAGTCAGTCATGTGTGATTTGAAGCATAGAAAACAATGAACTTTGGGGGAATCTCATAGTGAGTGGAGGATGTCATATTGACATCCTCAGCCACAGGGCAGATCCTCAGAAATCATTTGGGTATGCAAGATCCATATGGAATTTCCAGTACAAACTAGACCTCAGCCATTACCACCCAAAAGGCATCTTAGATAGAGGCTGGGGGAAACCATCTCCTTGTCCTATGAAGACATGACTTCTAGGACCAGGCCCTCAGCACAGATTTGGTCCTGTGAAATAAATTTGTCCTTTGGCCATTAGGCCTCACATTCTCCTTCTGTAGGTGCTTGTGCTTTCTATGTGCAATCTGCACTAAGCCATTCACAGGGTCTCAGGTGCATTTGATTCCCCTCTGCTCCCTCCCAATAGGTGGTAGCATCTTCAGGAACGTGTGCACATCCATCTTCCTTGTTCAAATGGAATCAGCTCTAGGACAACAACCCATCCTGACTTTTCACCCATCTTTTCCTCTTTCCTGGGAAGTCATCATCTGGATTCAAGGTCTTTCTTCATCTTCTTCCTTTTCTTCTAAAATTTGCGCTATTGTGACAACTCAGTAATCCAATAAAACAATTCCCCAGAATGCAATTCTGACTGTGAAGACTCCAATTATACACTTCAATTGAATCATGGAAAACTAAGTCTATAAGAGAACTATACTTCTCCTCCTCCTCCTCCTCCTCCTCCTCCTCCTCCTCTTCTTCCTCCTCCTCCTCCTCTTCTTCCTCCTCCTCCTCCTCTTCCTCCTTCTTCTTCCTCTCCTTCTTATTGAGAATAACTCAAGTTGAAGTTGACAGGTGAGTGTTATGTGAAATCAATAAGAAACAAGAACCAAGTATTGATATAAGACTCTTAAAGAGACAGGACTTGGTCACTTGTCCTGATGGCCACTTAACATGGTCTTTCTAAGATACAGGTAACAATTAGACATACCCTAAGACTTTTCTGGAAGGACTCCATTGGAGAGAGTTGGGATGAAATTCACACAGAGGAAAGCCAGGGAAGGAAGTATTAAACTGAAATCCCTTCCGTGTGGAATTCTAATCATTTTAATCAAAAGTCGGACTATACACCAAGTACTTACCATAGTTACCTAATACATAGTTACCCATAGTGCTTACCATAGTCTTCACATTTGGGTGTGTATGGAGGGTAGGGGATGTGGATAGCTTTGACCGTGAGATACAATTCCCCACCTTCTGGTCTTCTATCTTGTTTTATTTATTTATTTATAATCATGCTACATATGTATTTTTTAAAAAATCTGAAAACTGTATAAACAGGTAATACAGATGTGATCAGCCCCAACTCCGGACTCTTAAATTATCAGCATATGTGTTGATTCATTGTAATAGGTTTTTCTTCTCTTTGTGTGGTCGCGCAAATCAATTCCCTTTCAACAGAGTGGGTGGGGGGAGGTTCATGAAATGTCCATGAATTAAATTGGGGGTGGGGTGGGGAATGTGTCCAACAAGTGCTTTAATCTAGTTGGTCAGGTGCTATAACATCTCATTGGAAAAGTGATTTAATATCCATATGTTTGACATTGATCAAGATTCACTGTGTTCATAAAACTGCTTTTTGACCCCTCTGTACAGTCATTTAAGGATAATTAAAATATACTTCATAAGCAAGTCTGTTAGAGGTCTGATAGACCAATGATCGAAGGAAAAGTGCTCTAATTTACTGGTTATGCTGATCAGATTTTCTCAGGTTTAGCAAGGACTGAAGAGAATATCTCTGCCAGTATGCTCATTTGCATTTGAGATTGTCCTCTGAGAAATCATATATCTTCTTGTTTGTTTTGAGAAAGGGATTTATTTTTCAAGGCATGCAGGGAACGCGTTGGTCTTGTGATGTATAATGCAATACACCATATAACACAGAGTGTGCATAGATTGATATGCTGGGCAGTGTGAAAGCAAATACACACATAGATTATGGAAGTACAGTAGATTCAAGGGATATCTCAGAGTGTAATTCCTTAGAAAGAATCAAAATTCAACCAAGTAAACAAATGGAAGTGGGGACTTGAAATAGGTGTGGTGGGATCAAGTGGAGTGGGGGTAGAGGAATGAAGAGGAGAAGTGTAAGAAGTGTGAGAACTCAGTGTGAATCCTACAAAATGAAGAAGAGGGAGGGAAGGGTGGGTAAGGAAGGGACAGGGCAGAATGTGGATCAAAATGCAGTCTTTTCTCAAGTGCTTAAAAAATAAAGAAATTTAAAAAAACGAAGCCACCCATGGAAAAATTGGCGTTTTCCTACCCAAGCTATTCACTCAACCTTAATTTACTAAACCGTGGGCATCTTTCCACATCCCAATGTCCTTTTCTACTGACAGAGTTGAAGTCTAGCCCATGCATTGTGGGTTGAGGGCCATTTGTAGTGGAAAATGGAGGAAGTCTTCCCATGTTGAAGGCTCCTGTCTCCTCGAGGCCTCATTCTGATGAGGTTCCAGCCTCAATTTCCCCAAATATACCCCAAGTTGGGTATGTGAGGTTCAATTCCTCCTATTGCCCTTATCAGAAGGGCAAAGCTTTCTGCCTATAGAGAACAGAAAGACACCAAACTTTCAAGACACAAGCAGACTGTTTAAAAAAGTCATTTTCCCATGCAACAGGAGCAGTCATTCTTATTTTCTCTTCTCTTTTGTCTGTCTTGAAGAGGAGAATAGGAGTTGATGAAGGACGAAGCCAGCTCTAGCAGGAAATGTCTGACAGACTTGTGTCCCCCCCACCCCATTAACAACCCCAAACTGGAAGGTGGAGCTGTGTGGCTCAGGTGGTTGAAGGCCAGTCTGGAACCAAAAAAACATGCTCAGGGACAGCACCCCCAGGCCTTGAGTTCTAATCCCACACATGACATTTACCAACAAAATAAAACAAAACAAAACAGAACAAAACTAAAAAACCCAAACCACCCCAAATGCTCTAGACTATAGGAGGATCACGGGTTTTCTTGAAGAAATCCAAGTGAATATTGGCTGTCTGTCTGTGTCATTTCCTCCATCAGAAAATGGTTCCCGCTCTCCCTCCCTTCACTTCTCCCTCCCTCCCTCCCTCTCTCTCTCCTCTCACTCTCTCTCATTGTCTTCCAGTTCTGCACATTAGTTCATCATGATGTGTGTCCTGGGACGAAATTTCAGTCTGGACTTCAATAACCTGGGCAGCCTATGCACAACCTGTGAAATCTGACCCCTGAAGGGAGGGTCACAGAGTGAAATTACACCCCTGGGGAGGATGTGCAGGAATTTTCTCCAGGAGAGACATGACATCCTTCATTGCTAAGTAGGAAGCACTGTAGCCTTACCAAAGATCACCAGCCTGAAACCAGAAAACAAACACCTGTCATCATCAATCATTTGAGTCAGCAAAGAATCTCAGGCTCTAATGTCACTTCCTCTTCCTCTTAGGTGACTTCCTAAGCATCTGAGGTCACTTCCTCTTCTTCTGAGCTCACTTTGTCTTCCTCCAAGGCCCCTTCCTCTTCCTATGAGGCCACTTCCTCTTCCTGTTAGGTCACTTCCTCTTCCTCTGAGCTCACTTTCTCTTCTTCTGAGGCCACTTCCTTTTCCTCAGATCTCACTTCCTCTTCTTATTTCTCTGAATGTACTTCCTCTTCCTCTGAGGTCACTTCCTAAGCATTTGAGGAGCTTCTTCTTCTGCCTCATCATGCCTCCTTCGAAAAGTGACAGGTACCCCCAGGTCCTGCAGTCACTTTCTGTCTCTCTAAGGCTACTTCCTCTTCCTCTGAGGCCATTTCCTCTTCCACTGAAGCCACTTCCTTTTCCTTTGAGGCCACTTCTTCTTCTTGTGTGGTCACTTCCTAAGCATATGAGGAACTTCCTCCTCTGTCCCATCATGCCTCTTTGAGAGTGACAGTCCCCCAGGCACTGTACTCACTTCTTCCTCTGAGCTCACTTCCTCTTCCTCTGAGGCCACTATCTCTTCCACTGAGCTCACTTCTTCTTCTTCTGAACTCACTTCCTCCTCTTCCCCATCACGTTTTCTTCAGAATATGACCAGTTCCCCACCCCCAAGACCCTGCAGTCAGTTCTGTGTCCTCTCCACCCACACACCCCCTTGCTAACCCTCCACCATTTCCTCTTTCTGCCCTGTGCTCCCTCTGCACACCTCTATCTGGCCCAGCCTGGAAGTTTGGATCTTCTACATAAACCCTCTTCCATCTGGACTAGGGAGAAGTTTCCTTGTTCCAGTGTCTTTATTGGTCTTCTGGTGCCACCACCTGCACGACCAGAGTTCAATCTCTACCACTGGTGTCAAGTGAGCCTAAGCTTTTAGGGGACCCATGTGGAATTCCAGTTCATTTTGGGGGGGTGGGGGGGTGTCCCTGTGAGTCTGGGGATGGACCCAGGAAAAGCACACACTGATTTCCTCCTATTTCCTGGGCTAATAGGAAATCATTCATATTCCAATCCCCATCTTGGACTGAACAATGAGTAGACCAAAGGGTGTGGTTTGACTCTAACCAAATCCTCTTCAATCCTAGGTTCTGATGGTTGGAAATGAGAGAAATCAGGCTTTGAACCGTGATTCTCCAAATCTCAGCCTCCTGAGTAGCTAGGATGGCAGGCGTGACCTTGGAGTTATTCTGAATAATAATAACAACAACAATAATAATAAAATCTGGGTTTCTCTTCAGTTTGTCCAATCATTCCATTGGAGTGGGCTGGGCAGGGGACATTAAATCAATCATCCAAGTCAGAATGGTATGCTTGGGATATGATTTATTAGATCACTCGGTTAAGTACTGTGGGAGTACAAATTTCAGGAGAAGGGGAGGAGGAGGAGGAAGTAGGAAAGCTGGAGGTCACGACGGATGACCTCTCGGGAGAAAAAAATATCACACATCTGGAAAGCAAGGATGGTACCCAGAGTACTATTTTTCTGGAATGGCGTGTGTATGGGGGAAGCAGATTCCCAGACACATTTCTGCCTGTGAGGAGGAAGTCCACCTGGATGGAAGGAAGTGAGCAGAGAGGAATCAAATGCCACCTGCCTTCTGTCCCACACCATTCTTTCTTCTTCCTTGTGTCCCCCCCCCCCCCCCACCAAATAAACCACCATTGTGGACATGTGAGTCATCACCACAGCCTACTTCCAGAGCGATTTTTTCTTCCAACTTGGAACACTACAGACCCAGGAAAAAGGTGATAGAATGAAGAGTATAGTACCCAATTGTTGGTGTAGGTCTTCCATCCATGGGCCATGTCCTTATTCCTGGGGACAATCATCTGTGGGGGAAATTTTTTTAAAAAAAGGACAAGGAAGAAGAAATTAAGCAAAACAACAACAAAATACAGAATTATGGAAAGAAATTTGATGGGACAAAGGCCAGAGTTCTTAGGTGAAGGATTTCAATTTCAGGATTTGGGGGTATTCTGGGGAAGAGGATCCTGGAAACTCACCTGTTTCCAAGACGTTTTGGATGGTGGAAGTCGGGATGCCCTTCTCTTGGGCGAGCTTCTCCAGCCTCTGTTGCTGCTCCTCAGTCAGACTCTGTTCCTTTCCTGTGGGAAAGGAAATCAGGAAGATGTGCAATGCAATGCAGCCTAGACATATCATATTTGTGGTTCAGTGTAGTAGAGTGCCCAGCCTAGAGCTGAGGAAGCTCAGGGACAGCAACCCAGGGCCCTGAGTTCAAGACTCACTATGGCCCTGGGCATTTTGTGCTCAAGGTTGGCATTCTACCATTTGCACTCTGGGCCCTGGGCATTGTGCCTGAGCTTCTTCAGCTCCAGGCTGGTGCTCTGTACGACTTTGAGCCATATATCTGTATGGCACCACTTCCGGTTTTCTGGTGGTTTCATTGGAGATCAGAGTCTCACAGACTTTCCTTGCCCAGGGGTGGCTTTGAATCATGATCCTCTAGATCTCAGCCTCCTCCTGAGTAGCTGGATGACAGGTGTGAGCCACAGGTGCCCGGCTCCCATTACCTCTCTTATTACCTGTAACTCCCATGTTCAATGCATTTACAATGAAAATTTTAAAAAGCAACAAAAACTCTGGGCTCAGAATGTGGCTCAGTGGTACAGTGCTTACCTAGCATGCATGAAGCCCTGGGTTCAGTTCCTCAGTCTACCACATACACACACAAAAAAAAGCCAGGAGTGGCTGTGGCTCAAGTGGTAGAGTGCTCAGCCTTGAGCAAAAAATGGAGTTCAGGGACAGCACACCCAGGGTCCTGAGTTCAAACTCCAGGACTGCTGCCATGTTGGAGAACATTCTATTTCAGAATGCTCAATGACTTTATCTGCAGGGAAATTGGCATTTGTCTTCATCCCTTGGATCACTCAGTGAGGAGAGCTCAACAGGGAAATGGAGTCAGTTCATCACTGGGGGATAGGCTTTGCTCCTGTCTGCTGAGTTCAGGTAGGATGATCATTTCCAGGGTGGATAGATAGGTGACACAGCCCCATGATGGCTGAGGCTGAGGCTGAGTGTATGTGTGTGTGTGTTTGTGTGTGTGTGACACAGGTCCCTGTCTGGTGAGTTGTACAAATGGGGGGGGGGAATCAATGTGCACGTGACAGAGTCAGAACTTTTGCAGAAGACACATGGGGTTCCGTTATTGGGCAGGGGAGGGTCTACAGAAATCCATTCTGCTTCCTCCACTTCCTCGACACAGAGTGAGCTCACCAGCCACTAGGATCATGCGTGTAGTCCGTCCTTCTTCATCCACATTCTGGTTGTAGAAGACCACAATGTCTTTGTCTTGCTCCACCATCTGGAAATAGTTCTCCCCAGAGTCTGCAATGGTGTGGGGTGGCGGGGGGAGAAAAGAAGAGGTCATGATCAGTTCAGGTCCCCCCCCTCCATGTCTGGGTGGACTAGACTATGATGATTCTTGGATGAAGTGACTTCTTTCCCTCAATGGTTGGTATATTGAATAAAATATACTTTAAAAAAAGAAATTTATATATATTATATAATATAGATTATACAGGCATAAGTGGCTCAGGTCTGCTTTTAGCCTAGAAACTCAGGTGGCTGAGAGCTAAGGATCAGGGTTCCAAGCCAGCCCCAGGGCAGGAAATTCCATGAGACTCTCCTCTCCAAGAAAGTATTCAGAAAAAGTACTCCGAAGTGGTGCTGTGGCTCCAGTAGTAGAGCATTAGACTTAAGCACAGAGAGGCTCTGGGGACAGTGCACAAGCCATGAGTACAAGCTTCAGCACTGGGAGGAAAAATAAATTTAAAAAAAGAAAGAAGTATGTATTTATTTACTTATATTAAAAATATACTTTTATTGTGTCTTAATTTTTTATTAAATTTTTAATAATTTTAATTTTTATCTTTATATTTTTATGGCTTTTAAGTATATCTTTTATTCTTTTATCTTTAAATATGTTTTACTTTTATCTTTAAATATATTTTATGTTTATCTTTAAGTATGTTTTATTTTTATCTTTAAATATATTTTATTATTTTTAAATGCTTTTATGGAGAAGTCACCACTCAGCCAAGCAATTTATCAATACAGTGCATGACTCTATGTAAAAAATATAGACTTGAAATCATTTTTTTTCTAATGAATCACACCTGACAAACCAGGCTGGGCCTCTATTTGACTATATATATATATATGTATATGTATATGTATATGTATATATGTATATATGTATATATATATAACACACACTTGTGTGTGTGTGTGTGTGTGTGTGTGTGTATAGTACCCTCAGTTTAATCCAGGCCAATTTCTTTACATTTCGATGTCAACAAAAAACACTGGCATTTTAATCCATAAAGTGCCTTATTGGAGACCAATTCCTTTCTACAACCACTTAAAGACAATAAAGAGCTTTTAAAATAATCAATTTGTATTGGGGAGAAGGACCTAGGAACACTCTCTGGTGATTCTAGAATTCAGAGCCATGGGCAGATTATCTCCCCCACTGTGTGTTTATAAAGTCCTACAATGTACTCACAATCTGTCATGAACACGCCTTTCTCGTTCTGCACACCCACAACAGTGTATTTATGACACTGTCCATTTTGCCTGGAAAGAAAGAAAAAAAAGCAAAACAACAGAGAAGTCATTATTTCCTTATCAATATATTTCAGTAACATGTCCCAGCTTGTAGAGTAGCAACCAAGATATCAACCTTTGGAGATGTTTTGAAATAAGTCATGGTTTCCTTCTTATTCTTTTATTTGTTTATTATTTACTTAGTTACTTTAGTTATTTTTGTGCAAGACCTGGGGTTTGAACTCAGAAACAGAGTGCTGTATCTTAGGGATTTTTATGATTATGATGATGACGACGACGATGATGATGATGATGATGATGATGATTTACTCCAGGCTCAGGCTCTACCGCTGGGACCACAGCCTCACTTCTGTCATCATCGTTGTCTTTTCTTCTTCTTCTTCTACTTCTTCTTCTTCTTCTTCTTCTTCTTCTTCTTCTTCTTCTTATTATTATTATTATTTTGGAGGTTCATTGGAGATCAGTCTCACAGATGTTCCTGCCTCAGGATGGCTTTGAACCGTGATCTTCAAGTCTCAGGCATGAACCACACAACCCTGGTTTCATTTACTTGATTTTATTTTATTTTTTTCCAGTTCTTGGGCTTGAACTCAGGGCCTGGGCACTTTTTTCTCTGAGCTTCTTTTTGCTCAAGGCTGGGTGCTCTACTACTTGAGCCATAGCACCACTTCTGGCTTTGTGTATATGGTATACTGAGGAATCCAACCCAGGGCTTCATGTGTGCTAAACAAACACTGTACCACTGAGTAGAGTGTCCCCCACTTTTTAAACTATTATTATTATTAGTCATGGGACTTGAACTCATGGCCTGGGTGCTGTCCCTGAGCTCTTTTGTTCAAGGCTAGTCACTCTACCTCTTTCAACACACAGAGTTGCTTCTTGTTTACTGGTGGTTAATTGGAGATCAGTCTCATGGACTTTCCTGCCCTGGCTGACTTTGAACCTGTGATCCTCAGATCTCAGCCTTCTGAGTAGCTCGGAGTCCAGGTGTGAGCCACCAGCACGCTATATGGGTTGAATATTTTTATACTCCTATCAAGATAGCAGTATCCAATCTAGAGCTCTTTCCCTGGAAGCCACGTGTGCATCTAAATTCAAGGAATGCCCGTGCAACACACACACACACATACACACACACACACACACACACACACGCACACACACACACACAGATGCTGGCATTAACAAGTTTCCAGATTCATCTAGAGTCTGTGGTTAGGATCCATTGCATGATGAGCCACTCATTTCTGAATCAAGCCAAGCACCAATGGCTCATGACTGTCATCCCAGCTACTCAGGAAGCTGTGATCTGGAGGATCACAGGTTCAGAGCCAGCTCCGGGCAAGGAACAGTCCTGAGACTCTCATTTCCAATGAAACCACCATAAAACCAGAAGTGGCACTATATTGGTATATGTGGCTCAAAGTGGTAGAGTACCCAGACTTGAGCTGAAGAAGTTCAGGGAACAGCAACCCAGAGCCCTGAGTTCAAGTCTCACTGACACTGTGGTCTTCACAGAGCTTACAATATCAACTTATTAATGGAGACCAGAGATGCTACTTTACTTCTCTGTCAATTTCAATGGGTTTTCCTGATGATCAAAGGTCCTGTGGCTCTGGGAAATAAAGGCTCTCTCTCCCTCTCCTTCTCCCTCTCTCTTATCTTGGGGTATTGAATGGGGTGGATGGATGGAGGGGGGGAACTTTTCTTACTTGACATAAAAGGTGATGGTGATGGATTTCCCATCTTGACTGGCCTTGATGTGCCGGAAAAGGCCTCTCAGGGGTCCATCTTCCTGGATCTTCACTGGGGTGTCTGATAGGATGACCAGGGTGTGCCATGGCCCATCGACCTAACAGGATAGATGTTCCATGAGACAGGTCAGTCAGTGCCTTTCTCCTCTCTTCTGTACCCCAGTTCTCATCCCCAGAGTTGCCCTTTCATGCAGCCCAGTCCCCAAAAATCAATCCTGACTGGGAGGAGGAGAGGAAGCTGGACCTACTCCTGTGGAGTCCCACCCAGTGACACAATTGAGGCAGAGACATGAACACTGGTGCATGTTGAGAAGTGATAGGGATTAAATGCAGTGCTGATATACCACCCCATTTTAGCTCTTAGGCAGTTGCCTTAGCTTTTGGGGTGAAGAGAGACCACCTTAAGGATAGAATAGAGAGCGTTCAAGGTGCAAAGGCATTGCCCTGATTATGAAACATGCAGGAATTAACATGGTGTGCAAAAAGAAGAGAATCACACACACACACACACACACTCACACACACTCACACACACACAGAACTGGCTCATTCACACACACACAGACCATACAAGAGGAGCATGCCAGCAAAGCCTGTTCATGGTACCTCGGATGGCTGCACCTCGGGGCCAGCCCAGGCCACGCCAAACAGCAGGGCGATGAGCAGAGCCTTCATCCTGTGTGTGCTGCTGCTGCTTCTCCCTGTGCTGCAGATGCTCAGAGCAAGGACAGCTATTGTGCAGAGGATCCCAATGGATCCTCCTTTATGTGATGTCTCTGTGGCCCTGCTACATAATGAAGCCACTGTTGCAGGTCTGAAGGCCTTTTGTTACTCGAGTGTCCTCAGACATCCTGGGTTGTGGGTGATGGGCGGTGTCTGACATCTTGTACCTTTGACAGGGGATTAGTTGTTCAGGGGAAATAAGGTGGAGCTGAGTGACCTTCCTGCTGGCCTTGCAAGCACAATGGTGGAATGCTGGGCCAAAACCTGCAGTGGCTCTGTCCCTAAGTCCACACTCACTGCAGGAGGAGATGGGCTCCAAATCCATATTTCCAGAGCCACCTCAGTGGGGGCTGTGTGGCTTCTTATTCTGCAATCAAAGAGGGCAGCCTGTGGCTGAGGCTAATGACAAGGTGACCCCCATGGGACAAATCACTAGATTCAGGACTTCTGCCAGATGCATTTTTGTTTAAGGAATTATTATTAGAGAAGTTATAACATCACTTCTTACCTGTTACATGCTATATATATATATATATATATATATATATATATATATATATATATACATGCATATATCATATATATAGTATATGTATATACCATATTATTTACTAGATATATATGTATTTATGTACATATATGTATATCTCATATGTCTACCCACATATATACTAAATAAATACATATAAGTATATGAGTAAATATAAATAAATATGAATTTATATTTATATATATACATATATTGTAATATATATTATATTATATATATATATATAAATATATATACATATTCCTATTCATGGATGTCCTCATTCTTTCTGGCAATCCATTTTGTGTCTGCAGGTACTTTGACAGGAGAAATTACACCAGAATTCCAAATACAAAACAAAACAAACTAAATAAAAAAATACAAATACCTCTAAGACCCCCAAACCTCCAATTACACACACACACACACACACACCCTGAAAATACATTGTTCTTGCTACCCTCCATTCTCAATGTGAATTTTTTTAGGACATACAAGAAATGCTATTTCCTTGGCCTGTGAGAATCATGTCTACAATGAAATCAGAGCTATGTTTGTGACTTGGCCTCATGACTTAATTGTTGACCTGAACTCAATGGTGTGGGATTTATTAACTATATTTTTAAGTATTGCTAGTGATTCTAATGATCTGTCTTGAGTATTCATAGGGGTAGAATAGCAAGGTTCTCTGTCCATTTGTGTACACACCCATTGTTTGATGTCGGCAGCTCCCTCGGCTCCTGGTTAATCCAAGTCAGATTCCATGCATTCTTTATTCTTGACATATGACAGGGCCTGGTTCTGACATGGCACCTGTTAGGTCTGCCTACAAAAACACTTCCATTTTCTCCCTCCACTTCTTGAGCATCAGACCCCAGTCTTATCAGAAATCACCTGCCTGAAACCAGTAATCACCTGTCACTGTCAATCACCTGACCAGCAATCACCTGACTCTGAGGTCACTTCCTTCTCCTCTGAGGCCACTTCCTCCTCCTAGGTGACTTCCTTCTCCTGTGAGGTTTTGTCTTCCTCCTCTAAGATCACTTCCTCCTTCCCTAAGTTCATGTCCTCCTCCTCTGAGGTCACTTTCTCCTCCTGTAAGATCATTTCCTCCTCCTCTGAGCTCACTTTCTCCTCCTCTGAGGTAATGTCCTCCTCCTCTAAGGTCATTTCCTTTTCCTCAGAGCTGACTTCCTCTTCCTCTGAGGTCACATCCTCCATCTCTGAAGTCACTTCCTCTTCCTCTAAGATCACTTTCTCCTCCTCTGTGTTCACTTCCTTCTCCTCCCTGAGGTCTCATTCTCTGCCTCTGAAGTCACTTCTTCTTCCTCTGAGGTCACTTCCTTCTCCCCTGAGGTCATATCTTCCACCTTTAAAGTCACTTCCTCCTCTTCTGAGCTTACTTCTTCCTCCTCTGAGATCGTTTTCTTATCAGCCCTGGCCATGCCTCATTCCCCCAGGCTCTGAGTTCACCTCTGCCTCTGCTGCAGCCACACCAACTTCTTCTCCCTCCCCTACAAAATCCCTCTTCACCATGAGTTCTCTCTAGCACATCTCCATCTACAACTGGCATAGGCTGGAAGTTTGGCTCTCCCTAATTAACTCTCTTCCACCTGAATCGCCTGGATGTCTCCTTTGTCCTACCCTTGCAGTACTTTTATTTTTTGCATTGGTTAGTCATGGGGCTTGAACTCAGGACCTGGGCACTGTCCCTCAGCTCTTCAGCTCAAGGCCAGCATTCTACCACTTTGAGCCACATATGTGGCACCACTTCCAGTTTTCTGGTGGTTCATTGGAGATCAGAGTCTCATGGACTTTCTTGCCCAGGGCTGAGGAAGTCTTTCCCAGTCCTCTCCTTCCAGAGGATCTGACAGGTCAGGACAATCTCATGGAGTTTATAGGCAAATCAGCAACAACAGAAGGGGCTTTTTCACAGGAGAGGCAGAGATGATAATAAACACCAGGAGGAAATACAAGATCTCCATGTCGGTCACCCACTCAGGACCAGACCAGAAAGCAAAGGACCAGGACCCAGAGGGACGGGACTCCTATCTTCGGACAGGATGAACACAGAAAAGCCAGACTCTCATCATCCCAGGCCTGTGCTAGACCCAGGTAAAAGGACAACACGACCTAGGGTCTTCCTCTCCACCTCCCAGAAAGCACCCAGTTGCCCACCGAGCTCTAAGTTTCTGACCAGTATTAGCTGCATGATTTTTGGGGGGAATCTTCTTTTCCCCAGAATGTGGTCCTCCATCTTCTATTGCCAACACCTTTAATTTCATCCTCTAGACTGGGCCTAGAGCAGATTTAATCTTCTCACCCTGTTGACTTGACTGTTCCTCTTCAACCAGTCTGTGAGGATGCAGAATAATGAAGGGATTGAACATCTGAGCATCCCAGACCCACATTTCATGTGGAATCTACAGAAATGGGATCAAGTCCTTGAAGGTAGCTACATAGTCTGGAAGAACATAGTTTTCCCTTCCTAATTTTGCAGAAACACTCCAGGACTCTGTAGTTCACATTTGTGTGTGTGTGTGTGTGGGGGGGGGTGGGTCCTGAGTTGGACTCAGGGCCTAGGGAAATTCTCCCTGAGGGTGTGGGTTCAGTGTACCATGTAAACCACAGCACCACTTCTGGGTTTTGAGGTGGGGAGATAAGAGTCTCCTGGACTTTCCTGCCCTGGGCTGACTTCAAACCCTGATTTTGAGACCTGAGTAGGCTGAGTAGCTGGACTGACAGGCGAGAGGCTGGTTATATTCTGAATTTCTTTTCTTTTCTTTTCTTTTTTTTTAATACAATTATCTGTTGTCTTATGGACTTAGTTCCTATGATGCAATTGGTCTGGCTAATTCTGCCCTAGGAGACATTGATTGGAGTCTTCACAGTCAGAATTGGATGCTGGCGGAATACTTTATTGATTCACTCAGTGAAATCAGGATAGCACAAATGTCAGGAGAAAAGGGCAAGAAGAAGGCAAGGCCGAGCCAGAAATCTAGATGATGACTTCCCAGGAAAAAGGAAATGATGTGGAAAAGTTCAGGATGGGTTTATTTATTTATTTAGGTCCTAGAGACAATTCTGCTGCCTGGGGGAAGATGGATTCCTGTGCAATCCTGAGCAAGGATCAAAGGAGAATGTGAGGCCGGGATGGCCAAAGGGCAAATGCACTTCACAGGACCAAATCTGTGCATGGGTCTGTTCCAAGAAGTTGTGTTATCCTAGGAAAGGACATGGTTTTCCCAAACCTCTGTTGAAGACACTTTTTGGGTGGTCATGGCTGAGGTCTATTTTGTCCTGGAAACTCCATGTGGGTCTGCATGCACATGAGTGATTTCTAGGGATCTTTCCTATGGCTAAGGGAGCTTCTCAATATCACATCATCCACTCACAGAAATTCAACTGAGGCCGTGGTATTCAATGCTTCCTACCTAATATGGTTCTGTCCTTCTGTTCCCAAGTTATAAAAACCTATGTGTGTGTGTGTGTGTGTGTGTGTGTGTGTGTGTGTGTGTGAGAGAGAGAGAGAGAGAGAGAGAGAGAGATTTATATAAGTATCTATTTGCCTATCTATCTATCTATCTGTCTGTCTGTCTGTCTGTCTGCCTGTCTGTCTATTATCTGCCTATCATATCTATTTATCTATCTATCTGCCTATATCTACCTACCTACCTACCTACCTATCCATCTATCTATCTGTCTGTCTGTCCATCTGCCCATCCGTCTGTCCATCCACCTGTCTATCTATGTCTGTTTATCTGTCTGAGTGTTGGTCAGCCAATTGGTCTGTCTTTCTCTCTGACTACCTGTGTGTCTAACTATCATTATCTATAGATACATAGACAGACACATGTACAGATTGACAGACATACAGACTGACAAACAGATATAGACATAGATACAGATATAGATATAGAAATATTTAAAGTATCTCTCAAGTGTTTTTGTTTTAGGAATTGGAATTTTTTTCCTCTCTCAAATACTAAGTTTGGTCATTTCTTGACTTTTTTTGTAAATCTTTCATCTAAGGGATGGCTTGTCTATTTCTGGAGTTAATAATCAATAGGGTCCCCTCAGCGGCCCAAACATTTTCCTTCTGACAAATATGTTTCCTACCCCCTCTTTATATTTCTTACTTCTTAAATTCTTAATTCTTAAAACCCTTTGGTTTCTAACCTTAATAATCCTTGTACAACCCATGGCCACACAGACCAAATACTGTGGGTTTTTAAAAATTAGATACTAAATTTATCCTTTATGTAAAAGCCTATTCTTCTTTTTGAGATTTTTTTTTCAAGCCCTAGTGTCAGGCATGTTTGAGGTTCATTTGTTTATTTTGGCATATGAGTACATTTCCTCCAAAAACTCTTTGTGACCATTATTCTCTTTACTTTTCAGTTTCACCTTGGTTTATTTTGCT